CTTATCTAGGTATGGTTGTGTCAGCAAGATAGTGATGGACAGAGGGGCGGAATTCCTAGCCGACGAGGTTCAGAGCGTGTTTAGGAGAGCCGGTGAGAGAGTTTCGATAGCCACCGCCTATCACCCACAGTCGAACTCCCCAGTAGAGAGGGGACACCAGACTCTGATAGCGTCACTGTCCAAGTGGTGCAAGGGTAAGGACAGTGATTGGCCACGATATTTTCGATACGCAATATGGGCGGACAACGTCACGGTTCGGGCTAGTACCGGATACCCACCGTACACCTTGTGGTTTGGGCGACATTGTCCGCTTCCCATAGAGTTTCATGTCGACAGCTGGACAACCGTCGACTGGGCAGAGGAGATGTCCAGAGAGGAACTTTTAGCTACCCGAACAAGACAGATAGCCTACCGGTTGGAAGACAACCTCATGACAGCAGCCAATCGTCTGGTGGCGAAAAGGGACAAGGGTAAAGAGAGATGGGATAAGAACGTCCGAATCAGGAAAGAGAGGGTGAGGGTAGGAGATATGGTCCTTCTCTACGACGCGGCACTGGAGAGGACCTGGGCTGGAAAGCTTGCCAATAGATGGATGGGACCTTACAGAGTGGTTGAGGCACTTGACTGGGGTGCATATATGATAGCAGAATTAGACGGTTCTAAGTGGAAGGACCCAGTGGCGGGGGCTAGGTTAAAGCTGTTTAGGCCCAGGCCCACGCCTGCCTTATCGCTTACCAGCCTGAAAGGGAAAGGAAAAGCCATAAAGGAGGATGGAGCCCCCTTGAGGCAATTCGAGGCAGGAGAGAGTTCCAAGAAAAGGAAAAGAATAGAGAAGAGAAAGGTCAAAGGGGTAGTTTTAGGAAGAAAGAAGAGATGGTTATTCGTAGTCAAGCGAGCTAAACGGAAAGTTCGCGTTAGACGTACTAGCGGGTCGACACCCTTCTCGAGGCAAGGACAAAGGAAAGAGAGAATCGTGCCGGGACCAAAAACGAGAAGAAACAAGAGAGTCAAGAAGCATCTTCTTAGCCCCTGGACTCGTAACAAACTTAAACATAAGACAATTAAGTGCCGACGTGGGTGTCCTTTACGGGCCATAACCCTGAAGCTCATCCGCTTCGTCTGACGTAAGTTGCTAGGGCTCGACGGGGGCGCCGAGAAGTGGTCCGTGCTAACTGTCAGGCGGCCGCAAGCAGTGCGCCGCCTGAAATCTACGGTTTGGGGACTTAGGCGCGAACACGAGTCTGAGTTTTGACGGTACTCTGGTTAGACCATGCAGCGGAGATTAGGGGACCTCGGGGCGCCCTTGATTTTGGGCGCGCTGGACCTTACGGGTAACCCTCAGAAATGGCAAGATGGGTGGTCGCACTCGGCATATCAACGGACCATCATTTCCGGCCGTTCAGAGGGTTAGACCTGAATTGGCCTGCCGCGAGGGGGCATCGCGGGGACTAACCCCGCTGCGACGTTTTTGCAGCATACAACCGGGGCTGGACTGGGGCCTCGAATTTTTGTCTATTTTAGTACCATAATTAGAGATGGGGAAAAAGGGATTAAGACCAGATGGGCAAAAAGGGATTAAGACCAGATGGGGAGAAGGGAAAAACATAATATCCCTTAATTTCCTCATTTTACACGACATTTAAAACGAAGGGGGGGGAAAACCCTTGTATTTTATGATCTCGGCAATAAATTTAAAAGCATAGAAAAATGCTAAAAATAGAGAAAGAAAAGAAACAAAAGAAATCCGGTCCTATGTATATACTTTCTCGGAATTTAATTTTGAGGAATTTACGCTTGATTTACTTTTTTCGACAATAGAATTGAGAAAAAGGAAGATTGATTAAGAACAATGAAAGGGACGGGAAACGATGACAATTGGGAGATGGCCCAAATTTCGCCTTGATTACCCGCCATCAACTCTGACCCCATAAAGATCATTTTCTCTGGATTCTAACAATTTTCACTGCTGCCGATGATCGAGATTCCCTACGTCGTTTTCCCTAATTTACTTGTTTACTAATCTTACCAAAGATGGGGTGTTCCGAGAGTGGGAGTCGCGTGGACAGCATGAGGTGGTGCTACTTTGGACCGACAGTATGGTACCTGGCTCGGTATGGGCACATGGTTCAGAGAGGTTCTCTATCTGGCTCGATACCGGGCATATTTCTGGCTCAGCATGAGCTCGGCATCAGCGTACGTCAGGTTTGGGGACACTATCGCGGTTTATTTTCTGGTCCGGGGTCGGCATGGTACAACCTATTCAGGTCCGAAACGGGTACGGTATGCAGCACCGAGTGGGTTTGGTATTTGACTATTCCGACTCCGATTTCGTACGGTGTGATGGCCACATTGGTTCGGTACTATCGCTAGGACAGCATTGGTGCGGCAACCTTGGTCCACTATTGACAGGGCCGGTAATGACCGCGGGATCTAATTGAAACAGTGGCCGTGATGCGGCGCCGCGGGCTAGCGCTTATTTTCAGGCCCGGTACGACCTTGGAATTTCCCTGTGTGCCACTCTGATCTATTTCGAGGCAGCTGCGATTTCGCCGCGTTGATTAGTGGCACAACACTAGCGCTTGGCATATGGTCTGGACCTGTTGGGTCTAGAGGCTGGACCTTACCCTGCAGTCGAGACACCAACCGCAGTGGGGACCGAGATGCTGGGGAGCTGAGGCAGGTCGGTTGGCCACAGGTTGCGGATATAGGAAGGGCAACTGGATACCGCTGGCCACTGTAACTCGGAATGGTTCAGGCTCGGAAAACTGGTTCTGACTCGAACGGTTATTGGTTCGGGATCGACACGCTGCTGTATAAGAATGTTGAAGGTTGAGACCATACTACCGCAGCCCATCCTGGTTTGGCGTCACACATTCGGTACTAGTCCAACAGGGTGCTGATTGGTCTTTGCTCTTTCCTTACTGGACCAACGGCGGAACTACGGATTGGAAAATAATCGAATACTAACAGCGGTCTGCTTTCTGGACCTTGGTTCAGGTACCAGAGCAAGAAGGCCCTCCTTCTTCACTACCTGTCACAGACCTGAAGTCCTACTATCCCGGTTACCAAGGAGGGGATTGTGAAAGTTGGCTGTAGCGACGCTCTCTGGAGGCTGCAGCCTTCGGTACCAAGGATATAGGCGAGCTCAGTGAGACTTGAGTTT